CTCTCTCTCTCTCTCTCTCTCTCTCTCTCTCTCTCTCTCTCTCTCTCTCTCTCTCTCTCTCTCTCTCTCTCTCTCTCTCCTCTTGAATGATGATATGCGTCTGAAAGATTGTCCCGCTCTTGAATGGGAATAAGTCGGCATTCTGTGTGAAAGAACTTCTTCCGGAACTCTTCCATTAGTTTCCTAGGTAATCCTCCTACGCAAGGACCCTGTCTTCTTGTCTTATTAACGATGGATGCGTGTGTATTGAGTAATGCGATCCATTTTTTTTTCTGTGCATGTCTCATTTTCGCACCTTCCACAGTGAATGCATGTAGGGAATGTGTGACTCTTTTATTGATTAGACGATTGTCGTCGGGATTTTGTTCGAGAATGCAAGAGTGTTTAGATTTGTAGCTCTGTTTGCACTGCGCATGCCATCTGCCTTATCCTGCACGACATCAGCAGTCGAGCCACGAGGCGGCCTTGAGAAACAAGGCGCCCAGGAACCAACGTTGTGTTAAACTGATCGGACCCATAGCCATATGCGTGATCCAGCTGATCTATGTTTGCTCTCTCTCTCTCTCGTGTCCAAAAAGATTGATTGGGGGACGCGCGAATCGCTTTTGTTCTTAATGACGTCTCATGATATTTTGTGATTGATTGACATGCGGACTGACGAGTACCCTTCGATTGGGCGCCAATCTCCCGTATCTCTCATCCCAACGCGACCTTTTCCTTACAGTGAGGAAAGGACACGTGTATGTGAGTGGGACGTACGAGAAGTCGTTGCACAAATCGGCGGGCAGTATTACTTCCCTCCGACCAACCGTTGTTCAGGGTTCGTAGACGCCGGATTTGTCATTATCGATACGCACTTTCCACCCTACTCGATATTGTTGCCGTTTAACGAGTTAATCGTCATTTCGTGGATGGGAGTGGCGCCCCATTGGCCTCGCACTCTGTGCACGGAGTGCCAGCGTTTCGATCACTACGAAGCGAAGGGCTTCCACTACCAAATACGGAGTGAGGACGAGCATAAGGAAAGAGCCACTCAGGTGAGACCATCCACGTCGCATTCGGAACTGACCAGCGAACGACGACGAGAGTTGATACGAAAACGAGACACGCGAAGCGTGCCAGAGCCTTTCCGTTCTAAACGACGGGCTGTAGCCCGGTGGGAAGCCCGACAGTACTTTTTGGATTGAATTTGGATCTTTCTGTTTTCGCACCATGTCCGCGCGCGCATTCCGTGATGCGCGAAACTAATCGACTTACTTCATCGGACCATCACGGGGGATTTCAGTTCTGTCTGTGTCCCCACACTCAATTTCCAAAAATCCTTGGCACACCCCATCTTGCTGTTTTTCTGGGCCTCTTTTCCACACAGCTAACACTCCGAACGGAGGACAGCACAGGGCGTGAGGTTAGCCCGTCACAGGCCTCTCCAAACGCTGCTACGTGAGAATGAACAATCAAAAGTCTTGAATCGATTCTCCTAAACTATTAATAGACCTCTACTATCCTAGCCTAGACCTAGACTAGACTGACTGGACCGACCGGTACCGTTTTAGTTTCGGCCTCTAGGCCTCTCCCTACCCGGCTATAGGCTATAGGACCGTCTATCGGTATAGGCCCTTCGCGCCTGTCCGTCCTAGGGGTAGCCCGGGTCTGCTGTACGCTGTTAGGGTCAGCTGTAGGAATTCCGGATTAGTGTTGGGCTTGTATTTTCCCAAATTTGCAGATATGTCCCTCCTGAATATTCCTTACAGATAGGTCTCTCGGTTAGCCCTCAACCAAACAAAATTACCAACCTATCCTACCACTGGTACTGTACAGCCTCGCAGTTAGTCTCGGCAGTTGAAATCAGCAAGTCATTGCAGGGGGCACACACCCTGGTCACTTCTCCGTCTTCGCGCAGTGATTGCTGGTAGCGGCAGCCAATGGTTGTCCTTCACATGATAGGGCACCTACCCTACCCATCCCCAGTTAATACTCCTAGCGCACCCTCTGTCCCTACTATCTTACCTCAATGTGACCAGCACTCAGGACCATTACCCTACCAGTATCGAGGGTAACTTGGACAAGACAACAGTGACAAGCACCAAGGCTGGGCCAACCTCCTAGCCCTAGCGGAGGCGAAAGTGGACAAACCTTGCCGTACGGGGACTCCAGACGCCAGGCTCATGCAATCTTCTTCTACAGGCCCAATTCAGAGAGTCTACCCAGCAGGATTACCTAAGCAAGGCATGCCAGCGCCCGTGGACACATCCTACCGTCCTTCCCCTAGCTTACCCAATGCTAGGCGGAACTCAGACTAGCCGGAGCGACTTATATCCCTACCCTACCCTAGAGCTAAGCCATGCATGAGTCGACCCCGTCATATACCTGATAGAACCCCCCAGCCCGCATCCCACCGTCCTTCCCCTAGCTTACCCAAGGCTAGGCGGAACTCAGATTAGCCGGAGCGACTTATATCCCTACCCTACCCTAGAGTTAAGCCATGCGTGAGTAGACCCCGTCATATACCTGAAAGAACCTCCCCAGCCCAGTATCGTAGTTGTGAGTATGTGTATGTGCCCTGAGGCTATG